CCATTTAATACTTGTAATAAATATTTTGGTTGAATTTGTCGATGTAATAATCCAATTCCAATTTTTTCAAATGAAAATATTTGTATATAATTTACATAATCAATTAATGGTTTTAAAATCAAATGTTTGATTTCAAGTTGACAAAAAAAAGACCAAAGACATGCTTGACGAGTTAAATTTGATTTACCATGAATATGATGACGTACAGGTGTTAATAATAAATTATAATCATATTTATTACAGGAAAAATTCAATGGAATTTGATTTATTTGACGATAAATATCTGATATAGGTGCATTTAATAACCACTGGTGATCAATATCAGGCATTATATGACGAAAATGTGGACTAGATGAACGTAATTGTAAGAGAATATTTGGTTTAATAAGATCAATTAATTCTTTCATTATAATAAGACCTGTGTCTATATAGAAGAAAATAAAATTAAATAAATAAAAATTAAAATTTGTTTTTACCAGAACCCCAACCCATAGTATTGATAAGTAATAAATCATGTTGATCATTTTGAATATAATCATATAATAATTTAACATAATTTAAATAATTATAAATTTTATCATTGTCAACTTTAATATTTCCAAAGTAGAATGATTTTAATGGTTTTTTTAAATGTGAAGCTGATGGTCCAAATAATGGTTCAGTTATATTATTAATTAATGATATTGAACCACTTGGTGTAAATTCACTTTGACCAATATCACAATCAAGAAATGTTACTTTTGGTACTGAATTTGTTTGAGAAATACATTTATTAATTAAATAACGTAGATATGTTGATTTGCCTGAATCTTTTGCACCACAAACAAATACAACTAATGGATCATTGCTTGTTTTTGTTGAAAGACGTGATACGATTTCATTTGTTACTGAATGTATTTCAGATGAATAATTAATTGAACGATGCTAAATTAAATATAATATTTTAGTTCTTAATTAGCTTTTACTCTTAAATATTATTCATGAAATCTTACATAATTATCTTTGAAAGCTCCCATTCCTGACCATAATTGTTTAAAACCATTCGTATTCTGTATTTGTTCATCATCATCATCAGTATTATTATTAACATTATTATTATTATTATTGAATAACCATTCATTTGAAAGACTACTGTGACTAAATTCTTTCATTGATTCAATCCATGTTGTTTGAAGTTGTTCAACAAAAAAAACTGATAAACCATGATGAGATTTTGCTAATTTTTGAATACATTCAATATAAATTTCAGGTAAAGGTAATTGAACATGATAATTATCAAAAAATGAACGAATTTGATTTTCATTGAGTGAACTTTTGATTGAAGATGATGAAGTTTCAATAGACATTAATGATTGAGATGAAAGATTAAATATGGGATAACGTTTTAATAATTGAAGATTAAAACCATGTATAGAAGCTGATGGACCAGATATTTGTTCCAAATTAAAAAGGCCAAGCAGACTTATACGACATAAACGAGGAGAAAATATTAAGGCACGATGATTTTTTGAATTAACAAAACAAAGACTAAAATTAAATTTTATAAATACAAAAAAAAACAATTCTTTTCTTTTTATGCAATAAAACATACATGCATTTATTATTTGTTAATTCATTTTCATTTAATTGATAATCTTGTTCATTATTTGATATAATATAAAAAATTGAATTATTTTTTTGTTTTTTATCATTATTATCATTAAAATTTAATTGTTTTTTAATTTTATTTATTTTTCTTTTTCGATTTTTTTTTAATTCTTTTTTATTTGTTAATAATGATAAAGTATTTTCATCTAATCTTTTAATATCCTTTTTTATTTTTGTTTTTATTTTTCTTGGTGATGTACGTAATTGAATAGGTGGACGAAAATCTCGTAAAAGGAATTTTCCAACTGTAGTTTCAACAATAACTGGAATTTCTTTGGATTTTTTCATCTAGAATTATGTTTTATTCTTATTTTTGTCTCTTTATTATACAAAAATAAAAAAATAAAAGAATTTTATTTATTTCATTATATAAGTACATTATTATATTGAATATTGTTAAATGTTCCACCGGCCATAGTTTTATCAACATACGTTTTAAATATATTCCGATCTTGTTTTAAGATTGCAGCAGCATCATGATTCAATGGATCATCGGCATTTGGTTCCTATGAAACAATTATAATATTAATCAAAAATAAAAGATATCATATTGTAATTTAACTTACTAAAAAGAGAAAAATCAATCCAAGAATAACTGTTTCTATAGTTAACATCGGTCTCCAATCGTCTCTACAATAAATAATAGAAATTTTCTTTCAAAAAAATTTTCTTTTTCATACCTAAGAATATTTAAACAAACATTTCCTTCAAGATTAATATTTGGATGATAGATTGTTTGTGTACATTTTACTTTAGGTGGTTGATTTGGGTAATCAGATGGAATATCAATTGAAAATATAAAACGACCGTTTTTATAAAATCCCTATATAAAAAAACATTTTTTTTAATATCATTTTGATTGTTTTATATTTACAGCATCTGGTGATATTATTATTGTAAACTGAGAAATATTACTTAGATCTGGTTGTATTACTTCACATGTTGATGGTAATGCATTTAAATCAGCAAAATCTATATTAAAAATACTGAAATAAATTAGAAGAAAAATAAATAATTGGATTACCTCTCATAATACGAAGACGACCCATAGTTTTTTTATTTCTATCATTATCGGATAATGCATTAGTGTCAGATGCTGTTTTTTGCTGTAGAGAAGGAATATTAAGCATAATATTAAAGAATTTTTATTACACTTTATCTTAGATTAATACATACAGTAGACACATATGTTCGATCATTTTATACGATAATTGTGACTCATTTTGGATATTTCACAATCGTAACATTTTATAACGTGAAATTTCGTAGAAAGACAGATAATAAAATAATAAATTAATCTCGTCAGTCAATTTGTTCATGATGAATTCAATGGATAAACTATTTCTGCAATGACGAATAATGACTAAGATAAAACTTAAAGCGACCTCTCGTGTATATAATAAATAACAGTCCGATAGTTATGTACGCCATCTACATATTATCTGTATCAAAACACATATTCTTTGTTAAAATATATTTCTTGTTTAAAGCTATAATTGTCATTTTATAAATGTTAATGGATTAGTTGAAATGGCATCAATATATAAGTAGGAGCTAGATAAATATTTAGACTGTTTCTATCTATGTATCAAAACCTATACTGATACAAAATTATCGTTATGCCACATAAGAGTATTATGCTTACTTTATTATTATCATTTATTGTTAAAAGTGTTCATACAACACTTTTAAAACGTATTTATCTAGATTTAATAAAACAAACGCGGGTATCATATGCAATAATTCAGTTAGTCATTTGTTTGATAAATCATTACATAGAAATCGTATTAATTCAAATCCTTACGCATCATAAATTTATTTTAAAAAATTTCTCAGATTCTGTAAAAAGATCTAATCACTTAACAAATTCAATTCGCTCACTCCGGTTGAAAAACTCTTTATACACAATATGTAACGATTTTATTTCGAAAAATTAATATAAACAAACATGCTAAGTGTCATATAAATTATACGACAGTTTCAGAAAATATGCTGAGAATATTAATACAAATACAATGTAACATATGCCTAACTAAATACATATAAAATAGATTCCAAATGCGCGAATATATGAGAGAAAACTTGTATGATTTAAAAAAAATGCTGAAAAGAAAAAACAGTAAAATAAACCGAACGTTTAAAAAAAATAAATTGATAACCACCACCACCATCACCATAGTAAATATTTACAAAGAAGAAAAAAAACTTAAATCCACTCGAATCTCACACATATCAACTAGATTACTAGTGTTCCTATGTTGAGAGAGCTGCTACTCCAATCATACCACCGCCGTTTGCAACCAAAAACCAGTTAGCATTAAAATTCTCCCATTTGTACAACATGCTCTTCGTGTCTACAACAAGAATCATACCATTATTGAGCTGTGTAATTCCGATAACCGAACCGTTGCTTGGCACCTGTACTCGGGTACCATTCAAACTAGCAGCTGTATAAAGAATGTTATCCATGCCAACCATTAAAATGCTTCCATCCTTCAACTGTAATATTTCATTAGCAGAAGTAGTATTCGGTACCACGAGGTGGGTGGGTGTGAGTGATGTTCTTATATTCAAACTCACCAACATTGCCACTGCACACCCTAGCCTAGATCCATACCCACATCCACACCCTTATTTCTTTTCTTGTGAAATTACTTGGTTTTAATTTTTTTTCCAAGTTATATTCGTAGTCGAATTAGACAGCTACTCCATGTAGATTCTACTTGCACTGTTCTAGCATTACCCAGATCTTGATCCACACCCTCCCAGCATCACTCAGGTCGTCATCTACTTCCCTTCTGTTTAATGCAGAGAAATTTTGAAAATATCTTGAAGAAATACAAAATTTATTGAATAAAAAAAAATTACAAGGAAAAACCTATCCACAAAGATATTTAAGTTTATTATCATCTGTCATCATAATTTTCATCTTGCGACAACTGTATTTGAATGGATCCGGTTCTGATCGATAACCAATTCCATGTTGACATGGTTCGACTTGAATGATTTCTTTTTTGCCATCAGAATATTTGTGGATATGTACAAATATGCCTTGACAAGATTTTCGAGCTTGATTCTGTTCAAAAGTTTCGACAATAAGATGACTTTCGGATAAACACCCCTTTGTATCACATAGATGTGATGCTAAAAATGAGAAGATACAGATTAAATTTTATGAAAATTTTTATGTGCTCACCTTGATAACCTGCTTTCGTGCGGGAAAGTAGTGGTAGTTTATCTAATTTCGAACGAAGCACAATGTGATGAGAATAAATTAATGTTTCCAGCGGTCCCTTGTCTTTTTGTTCCTTGCCTTTTGGTTCCTTGTCTTTCTGTTCCTTGACTTTTGCTTCCTTGGCTTCGGCGAATTTATTGAAAGCATCTTGAACTGATTCTGGCCAATGGGAATTGCAGCCTGATCTTAAGTGAGCTCTGGGATGGTTAGGTAGTGATTGATCAGTGTGGTCGGGTGAACCGTAACATCGCATCCATTTAGTTAAATAATCACCTAAAAAGAAAAATAACCGCCAATTAATTAATTAATAAGATAAAGTATTACTCACCGTTTTGGTCACGAATACTTCCCATAGTTTCAAGCTCCTCCAAGTCGATTGATGGAAAGATGTGTTTGTCGTTGGTAAAAAAATCACAACTCGTACGCTCATAAATACGGTTTATAAATTCTTTCGCCACTTCTTTGGATATTGAGTTGAGAAATTCCTGTGTAACTGGTATCTCGCTGGTAGTAGATGGTTCGATGGTCTCTTGTTTTTTTCCCTTGCTGGTAGTAGGTGGTTCGATGGTCTCTTGTTTTTTTCCCTTGCTGGTAGTAGGTGGTTCGATGGTCTCTTGTTTTGTTTCGTTGATGATAGTTGCTGGTTCGGGGAGCATCTGTTTTGTTTTTGATCTTGTAATAATTGGTTCGAAGGCCGTTTCTGGTTTTTTGATGATAGTAACTGGTTCGGGGAGCATCTGTTTTGTTTTTGATCTTGTAACAATTGGTTCGAAGATCGTGTCTGGTTTCTTGCTGTTATTAGCTGGTTTTGAGGGTGTCCCTTTTGTTTTTGATGTTAAGTTTGTTGCCATTGTAAATAAGTTTTGAATTGATGATGCAGTTGAAAAGTTGATAATGAAATATACAAATACAGACGTATATATATATCTAGAAATGAGAATAAAAATACATATGACTCAATAATTCTGCGTATATACAAATGAGTCATCTTTCTTGTCATGTTTATACTCAATAATTCTGTGTATATGTAAATGACTCAAGTATCGTATCATGTTTATACTCAATAATTGTGCGCATATGCAAATGAGTCAATATTTTTGTCATGTTTATCTGACTGAAGAATATACGTATGACGTAAATAGAAGGAAAGAAAGAGAATGGCGTATCATGGTTGAAGGTGGTGACAAGAACAGTCATACTTTCCTCTAATATATGTGTATATATACATAAAAGTCTGCACATTTTGCATATCATTCAACAAATAATTCTACTCATTTAATACTTTAACTTAATAAGTAAGTTTCGATTCTTATTCTCGTTCTTGTCTTATTTTATTTTGTTTTTACATTATTTCTTAAAATAGAATTTCATTCATGGCATCAAACAAAAATTACTGGATGAACGATGCCAAGACAAGGTTTAATACAAGTGGCAGAATTCGCTTTGAAGAACTTTTTGCAGAAAATAAGTCTCCAACATATAAAGAATTTATCGTTATCGGAAAGGAACTCGGTTGTCTAGAGGACCACGATTGTATGGAGGACGAGGATTGTAAAGAGAAAGTCGAGGGTGCCGTGAAAATGTTACAAGTAAGAAATTTTCAAAACTTTAAATCAAATTTATCAATAGTGCTTGTCTTTTTGAAGCGAAAGTTTTATGTGCGACGCACAATTTCTGACAAGAATGCAGAAGAATTGGCATCGTCACTGGAAACAAAATTAAATATTACGGAGGCAGAAGAAAGTACCGTTGATAATGAAACGTTAGGTACAGAATTTTTAATGGGTTTAAATGATGATCAAGCTACATTATTAATGGAGGAAATGTTAGAAAAGGATGAGTGCATTGAAGACATTAATGGAGGTCATGTTTCAGGATGTATCACCAAGGAAGAGCTATGGAAAATGACGAGTAGTGAGAAGGAGCCTGATGGTAAGTTTGTCTTATGTTACTGATTTATTGATAAAATTATTATTTTTAGGAATTTGGTTTGAAAAGTGGATGACTTGCCACATCGCTGCTGATTATGCTAAGTCAAAGGCTACGTATCGTGCTGCTATAGACCTTTGTCGAACTGGGCACTGGCCTAAAGACGTGCAAGACATAATTAAATTGTTTCTTGATAAAAAAAGTTTTATTGAAAAACGTGTTATTAAGTCAGTGCATCTTCATAAATCACACATCATATTACGAAGCCAGTATCCATCATCATTTACAGGCTTGTCTCGTACGAAAAACGAAAACTGTGGTAAGTAAAAAATATTTCTTTCATAATTGATTAATAGAATAACTCTTCGTTTATTGTAGCATCACATTTCTGTGATATAGCAGGTTGTATTAGACCAGAACATCTGGTAATTGAAACCACTGGTGTTAACAATAGCCGGTACAACTGTGAAGGTGTCACTCTTTTTGTACGACTTGGAAGTGAAACATCACCAGGTCATATTATTCAAGCCACACCATGTCCGCACGGTCTGAATAGTGGCGATCAAGGATTAAAAAATAGCTGTCGAAAGCTTAAAATCTATGCACAGGACCAAGTTTCTATTGATTATTTTGTTAAAAAAAATAAAAAATTTGTTAAAAATAATAAAAAATAAATTAAAAAGTTAAAAACTTATATATTGGTTCATTTGTATAGAGAGAAGTATATGAGCGACACTCAATTAAGAATGCTGTGGGTCATAGTTTTGGAACGTTTGCTGACGTTCAGAAAAGATCAAATGCGGAAAAATTGAATACAGTGATTTTTTGATTAGTATTAACTTTGGCAAAGATATAGACACCGCACGTTTTTGTACACTTTACTTTTTTAGCGAATATAGAAAACGCGCGGTTCTTTTTATATTTCACTTTCACGAGAAACAAAAAAGTGACGAGCAGAAGAAAAGGTCACTAATTTTCTCGTAAACAGAGCAGATCGTTGATTTTATTTATAGAAACTCATCTCCCGACTCCTGATGAAAACGGAGTAAATAAAAAAGAAAAAGATACGAGCACTGTAACAAGCATCTGTAATCGAAATGAGGACAAGGAGAGGTGGATGGATGAGCGGAGAGGGGAGGACAGATGGATATATGGATGGTGTGCCGATAAATATAAAGAAAGTTTTACACTATCCCTTTATCTCTTCTAAAGTATGCATTAAAGATTTATTCTTATCCATCACTTATGAATAGATAAAGGGCATACTTCTTGCATACTCGATTGTCCTTAAACATTTGTTCGTTCTCGTTTTTCTTTCAATGTGATTATATTGAGCTCGTATATGATAAGCGTTCGTTCTATTTATTCTCTTAATGTAATTACATCGTTCTTCTTTCATACTGTAGCACCTTCATTGTTGAGGGTGTGAGTGTCGGTGATACTCTTATGTTCAAACTCACCAATATCGCCACCGAACACCCACACACACCCTCAAGATGGTTTGAATACCAAAAAAGGTGGTGTCGCTGATTTGTGTAATACTGAGTGTAGACCCACTGTTTGTTACGTTTGTCCAATTGCTGTACAGAGTGTCACGTAAGTAGAGCAGATGGTCTTGACCAACACCGATGATGCGTTGCCCTATAGAAATTTGTTCTATGATTAGTAATCGTTGTATTATGATCTTTGAGTTTTCAGTATTAGAAAAATGGAAGACAGTGTTTTATTTTATAGTTTTATGCTAATGAAAGGAAATGGGCTTCTATAAAGTGTATAGTTGTATGTGTAAGTTGTTTTTTTTATGAAAGAGCGGAAACTAATGAGATACATAAAAAGATATTCATGACTCAGAGTGGTTGCACAGTAGTGAGAATATCTACGTAGGTAAGATTTTTTTGTATTTCTCACTGTTATTCATACCAATATCTTGAATGAAATAAATAAAAATTGTATAACCACACACGAGTGGAAGAATTTTTTAGTTAGGTTCTTATCTCTATCTGAATGTGTGTATATGAAGGATAGAAAGAAGTAGCGTATTTCTATCTATTACAATGCAAATATTCAAGTTTTTGTTAAAGAGTGTAATATATGAATCAGTTGTCTTATAATCTCTAGACCTACTTTTTTCTATCTCTTAAACAGAAAATTGGCATATCTCAATCTGTCTTTCTTTAATGTGAGTGGTTTTCATAGTAACTACCGATGAACTTTCTCTTTTTTCAGTAACTGAACATATATTACACGATGTTTTACTATTAAGTAGCTGAAATAGATCTGCGTATCAATTTATTTCATCTGTCTGTAAGTCTTTTCGATGAAGGATGGGTCGTCAGCCATTCATCTGAATAACTAATGACAGATGTCGAATAAATGCATAACTGAAGTTGATTGGGATCGATCATTATAATTTAAACATTTTTTTAAATAATTGAACCTAGCGATATAGATTGTCGAAAACAGAATTAATCAAAAGTTATTAGTACTGATATCTGTATTAAAGTCGCTTCTATTTTCAATAAAACGTCAATAAATATATTCTGAATTATCTTGAATCGATGTTTATATAAGAACAAA